ACTTTATAGAAACCATTGACGTGATGACTAAATTTAATGGTGTAGTTCACGATTTAGTAAATCATAGATGCTTGAATTGTAGTTGTTTATATTGTGATTGATTGTGTTTCGCTTTGTTAGCTTCATTCGATGCTCCAAAATGTATCAGAACACAATTCATAATGCATGTTCGTTTGCATTCTCAGTGCTACCACAAGGGGCGCTGTTAGCGCAAAACTGTCTTTTACAACCAGTTTTTTCCTTTCTACTCTCTGTTCGAATGTAACACAATGACAAATCATTTTAATAGGTTATTCAAATACGTATCTATTAAAAAGATGTATATTATTAATATATAAATTACTTCTTCCGTCCTATTTCAATTAATTGACAGCAGCTTTAAATGTTTTGGAACCGTTTTGATGGAAGGCAGTGATTGGATCTAAAACTTTCAGATGACATAACTCACATTTATTATTCATCTCTTTCTGCTTAAGCAAAGTCATGCCTCATTTCACAGGGCATCTGCTGAAATGTCACTGTCCCCCTTTTTTTTTTTTGTCATTGTGCTTTCTTGGGACAAGAACCTTACAAGAAGAAGAAAAAATGCAACACAGCACAAGCTAACCAAACTCTTTCTCAAATACAGGTGTGAATCCTTCAAATTAAAGTGATTTTGGTTATAGAATTTAATTATCACTCTCATTATGTCACTTGACCGTATTTTTGCCACTGTGTGAATGCAGGTATTCACACTTAGGTGTGGCACATTTATATTAGAAGTACTGGTTGCTGTGAAAGTGCTACACGTTGCAGAAACATCCCAGTCCTTCCAGTTCCAGCACTGCCAGTGATTAGAGAGGGACTCCCCTTCCTCCGCCCCTCCCATTCCCATTTCGTGCGGAGCAGCGATGAAACCGGCTTTGCTCCATGAGTTCTGCCACTCCGCGCTCCTCCTCTGACAGCCTAGACGGTCGTTTCGCCTCGCTCTATCACACCCCCTCACCCCCACCCCCTTAACTCGCTCGCCGTTTCCTCTCTGTCCTTCTATGTCAATTTAATTGAGTTCTCGTCCAGTGTGCATTTGCGGTGTGGTGGTTTCATGCGAGTACTCTGTGGCTTGCATGCTTGGCATCTGGAAAGCTTTTTTCTGAAAGTGTCCTCACCCACAGTCAGTGGATTTGCTTGGGGCTGTTTTTGCCAGTCTGCTTTTACAGTATCATAATCTCATAACGTCATCAAAGCATCGCCTTCCTGGCTGAGCGGGATTGCACAGCTCCAGGCTACCAGGATGCACTGCATGTCTTCAGTATCGCCGTGATTTATGTCCCGAAACGTCGACAATGTTGTTCATCTCGTTCTGCCTTTTTTTCCACAAAACATTTACTAAAATGCTGAAATATCACCGTCCTTTTTCTAAGACTTTATTGGGACAGAACATCCATAATTTTCCTTGCTAAGTTTCAGACCAGATATAGAAAGCTAATTGGCCATGAGTTGTCAAATGTGTCCAGATTTATTAAGACCAACTTACAATTCATGCACATTTTTAAAGTATTGGTTCTATTGGAGATACTTGCCATCTGTTGTTATTGGTAAAGCACGATTGTTTTGTTCTGTCATCAGTTAAGGCCGTTTCACACTGAGCGCGATGCAAAAAAAAGTGAGGCGAATCGCCGACGAACATTGCTTTCACACCGAGCACGAAACGATTGATCGCCTTCTGCTAATTCACGCCTGCACGCTAGGTGGTGCCGACCAGCAATGCATTTTTACTCAGATATGTATCTCATATATGGATTTAACATCGTCCACTGCTCAATATACAGCATTAAATATAGCTAAATAAAGTTTTGTTCTAAGCCAGAAACACAAACTATAATGCTTACAAGAAAACATCTTAAAATATAAATATAAGTACAATTAGCATCAAGCCACATTTGAACATTTATGTGATTATGAATGTTTTTGCTTAAAACCCACTATAAACCATCATCGAGTGCTTGTAATAACTTCCGATTGTGATCTATAGTTGATTTTGATTCTATAATAGGCAGACATGCACTCTTTGTAGGCTGTTTAATAACGCCACACTGCTTATTGTCATAAACATCCTTTATTGTTATAAAATTACCATGAGCTGCATACAAAACACATACAGAAAATATATCGTCATAATCATATGTCTATTTGCTTTCATATTTCATGTGTAGAAAAATGTTTCACTCGTTTTTTTTAAACACAGAAGATCTAGAGAGTTAACGCGCTCTGACTCATAACACTCGCGCACGTGGAAGAAAACGGACACTCCAGGTCACATAATTCAATCGAGAATTTAGAAATTATATTAAGAACATGTGAGAATAAATCTGCTCTCAGATACCAAAGATAACAGGAACTCGGCATCCACTCTCTTCTCTCTACTGGGATACTCTTCTTCGGTGTTTGTTTACACTGGTCGAAACAGCGCCACCACTCTCACCCTTTTGTGCAACAGCAGCTGCTCTGGGCACGTGAGCTCAAATCTCATTGGACGGCCTGTTTCATCGTGGAGCGACAGGGAAAAAATCGACACACAGGACGAAAAAAAAAAACTTGCTTTTTCG